GCAGTTGTGAATTCCTTGAGGAGTATCTTCCTCTGCCAGTCTCGAGTATTTCTCCGGTGGTTGTAAGTTGTGAGAAATTTTAATTTTATCCACATTTGTTTTACATTTGTCCTCCTCCTCAGAAATGACAAGGAAGGGGTGCCTGGATGGCTCAGTCAGGCTTCTGACTTTTGAATTAGACTGAGGTCAACACCTCTTGATTTGTCAGTTTGAGCCCCCTGTCCCACTCAGTGCTGGCCCTGTGTCGCCTACTTGGGACTTGGCTCTCTCTTGGCCACTCCCCTGCTCTCACTCTCTCAATCTCTCTCACAATAAACTTAAAAACTTAAAAGAGAAAAAAGCTACAAGGAAAAAAAAATACAAGAAAAGAGAAACTCTGAGAAAGATGTTTCTAGTTTAAATGTGATGGTGTCTGGAAATTGCTCAGGGAATCAGCCTAAAATCATCACAACTGATAAGGAAAATATGAACATTACAGGGGAGGAATCTGGCAGAGAGCACAAACCCAAGTAATAGAAGGTAACATCAGCTGTAAGGAAACAAATGGATATCAGTGCCTAAGACACACCTCAGGACACCGGATCGCAGGTGTGCTCTTGTGACCCCAAACAGTAAATCACAATATAAACAAGTTAAGGCCACCGTGGATTTATACAGACTTTATCGCATATACTTGCAATGTCCTGGAATATCTCTTGTATCTTAAAATAGCTTTTCCACATCCTCAAGAGCAGCAACATTCTAAATTATTCTGTGACTCATATCCATCTTGTGTATTTGTGCATTTTCATAATCCTCCTCTACCCGGGGCAGAGAAAGCATTCAGATAAGACCTAAATGGGAATGGTTTTCCTTGATTGCTATCCCAGGACCAGACCCCATCAGCAACAGGACACTTGGCCTCAACACCTTCCTCTCTGGATCTGTCACAAAGGGAATATTTTCAATACTTGTAGGAATTTAATTTAAAGTGACAACTGCTGTTGCCCTACTGGAAGCCAGGTTGGAGAAAAGGGAGAGAGGTCTCTGGGATATAGGGGAGGAGTGTTCTGAAGACATAACCTAGAATATCATTTCTGAAATGTTCAAAATTAGGTGAAAACCTGGGGCATCTGGGTGGCTCAGTAGGTTGAGCGTCCGACTGCGGCTCAGGTCATGGTCTCGTGGTCTATGAGTTCGAGCCCTGCATCGGGCTCTGTGCTCAGAGCCTGGAGCCTGTTCCGGATTCTGTGTCTCCCTCTCTCTCTGATCCTACCCCGTTCATGCTCTCTGTCTCTGTCTCAACAAAGTAAACGTTGAAAAAAAATTTTTTAAATGAGGTGAAAACCTAAAGCAGAACCATAAGAACTAAACACATAAAACCATTGGTATTTACAATTTTTTCATTTAGAGACAGAGAGAGAGAGAATGCATGCAAATGGAGGACAGGGACTCAGGTAGAGAGAGAAAATCTTAAGTAGGCTCCAAGCTCAGAAGGAACCCTGATGCAGGGCTGGATAGCAGGTCCCTGGGATCAAGACCTGAGCCTAAATCAAGAGTCATATTCTCAACTGAATGAACCACCCAAGTGCCCTGCAATTTCTACATGCATGGATTATCCTGAGAACAAGGTGACAGGTCCTCTTGCAATGGACTCAAGGCTTACCTGAGAATTGGCCATTTCTCCTTTCCTCTCCTCTTCAAGATTTTTCTCAGAAGATTTTTGTGGAGAAATCCCAGCTGAAGTGGGAGCAAATGCCTTTAAAGCCACCAATGCAACCTCTTCACCAGTAACCTGGTCACCTGCAGGCAGGGCTTTGAAATGCAAAAAAGACCCAAGTTCCTCATCCTTTGTGTCAGGAGTTATTCAGAAATTATGGTGTCCCACGTGGAGACCAGCCTCTCAGTTTCCGGTCTCTGCTTTCAGGGGGCCTCCCCTCCCCCAGAAGCCCACAAATTCTGCTTGAGCATAGGAACAGTGTGTTACATGGACCTGACCCTCCCCACCTCCTGTACGGGAGACCCTTGAGCTAAAGCCTGCACTCAACTCTGATAAATTAATAGGAACCCTTTCTGCTTAACTCTGGCTTCTCTTCACATTTTGATAGGAAAAGATAGGATTCAGTAGGGAGAAAGGGAACCATTAGGACCTGAGGCCCCTGGGTGGGGAAAACACATTTTGGAACAATGCTGGGAATGTCTGACTACAGCAAACCCCCTCAGCTGTAAAGTTCCTCTTAAGAACGTGACAGACACCACCTACTCCCCCTCAGGAATTTGACTAAAGACCTAATTAAAAACTAGTAGTAGATGATAAAACTTAAAACCCACAAGGAGCAATATGGCCATAGACCACCCCTCCTGCAACGGAAATGAGCCAATCAGGAAGGGACAGCCCAGCACCTGGAGTTGTTAATCCAGTTAAGTGTAGGACTTGAGAAGGAACAAGGGGGAAGGGAAGGGGGGAGAGACTAGAACCTTATACCACAAAGGCCCTTGCTTATTGTCACTGGTATTCACATTCCAATGCCCCCCCCCTCTGTAAACAGAGCTTTCCTACCAGTCTTCTTCTCTTATACTCTAATAAACTTTTGCCTGTTGCTCATTTTGTGTCCACCTCTTTATTCTTTGAATCGCTGAGAAAACAAGTCCCTGAATCCTGGGTATTGATGTAAAAAATCCCCTAACAGAATCCCCTGGAGCACTTCACTAAAACAACACTGTTGTTTCCACCCACACCAGTTGAGGGAATCTGAGGGGGAGGGTAGCAGCAATGATTATTAATGCAAACTCCACACAGGATCCTATTGGGAAGCATTTGGGAAGTGAGCAAGCAAAACACAGTAACAATATGTATGGTTAGTGTCCAGATTTCAATCCATGCCTTCTCCACTGATCAGTTTCTGTAAATTTACACATTCTCTTTCTTTCTGCTTCACAGAAGGAGACACCTTTACAAATGGAGCTTTCCCTGATATATGTGAATGAGGAAGTTTGGGGTAATAGGGGGGTGGTCCAGAGCTGATGGCCAAGAAAGAATTCTTGAAGACATCTTTGGTGCACCCAGAGGATTTGTTTAATATGGGACAAGACCCAAGGTTAAGAAGAGCTGTCCCAGGACCCTGAAGAGACCCTGAGTATATACTTGGGAATCAGGGGAGGCAAAGTCAAGGTGAAGTTTCCAAAAAGATTTCCATATGTGAAAGAAAACTCACAGGATATGGAGACCTAGCTATTGTCAAGCTAAAGTTGTTTTCCCTCTAGCAAAGCATTAGCATTAAGACAGTAAGGAATTCCTGGCGAAACTTTTACTCAGCTTGCCTCAAGTAGTTGTCAATGGGCTGCAGGTTATAAGGAAATTTAATTTTATCTGCCATTTCCTTCAGCCTTTGTTTGCCACATCAACCCCCAAATAATTATCCAAATAGGACATACTTTTCTTTT